GAGCTCGAGGCAAGAGAGGGTCAGTTCAGCAACCAAGCTGAACTAATCCAGTTTTACGAGGGTAGAAATGAGTATATTGCTAGAGACAGAAAGGCATGCAACATTTATCTTAACCATATGCGAAAACAGTGGAATCCAGATTGTGACGACAAGTCTTCAGACATTCCCATTACGGTAAATCGGCTCCAAGCCCTCGTGGAGACACTGCAATCGGCAGAGGACAACAGAATGACTGCCATGGCATGTTTCGTGAGAGGGTCCGATGGCGAAGCTGAGGGGACCCGCCGCCGATTAACGGAACAGATGCAAGCTGCCGAGAAGAAGAAATACGGAGGCTTACAAAAGATTGGATTTTCCGAGCTTGTAGACGTTTTTAATACTGGAAGGTGGGAGTCATGTGCATTATCAGACGACGGCATAAATTACGACCTACCCATCGATGAACGGTGTGAGAGGATGATCAAGTGGATGATTTTCATACAAGGCGTATCAGGGGAGCGCATGAAGCAGCTTGAGGCGTGCAAGGCTCAAGTCAGGATATTGTGGCGTGCGTGTCAATTAGGTCTCGGCTGGAGCCCTTCAGAGACACGGGAATACGCAGGCACATTTGACAAGCTGGCATACCAAGGCAAGGATGGAATATTGTCGCCCGCAAGCCAACTGGATTTTCTTATGCGTTTCATTATGGATAGAATATCACAAGCGGCCACGGTGAGGCTCCTGCAGAATCCCGCTGCCAGACAGGATCCCACTAAGGCTCTAGTGTCGAATGAACGTGGTGGTTCAGGGAATCCGAGCGTCATCACTTCAGTGACCGAGCAAATGAACAACGATGGCTTACTGGTGGACTCCTTGGTGCCGCGTGCGAACTTAAAGAACACATTGTCAAAATCCATACAGAAGAAGTCACCCCATGAGACCAAAAATACGGTCTCAGATGGCGCGGGTATCGGTGCCGACAGATCTGCACCGGCCAGGGAAATGAGGGCCGTGGAACAGATCACGTCAACGAATGGGCCCAATCTACGAAATCGTCAGCAGTTGAAGGGATTCCTGTCAAAGTTACAGAAACCGGCATCTACTGGGAACGATTTCTTCGCCTCAAATGAAATTCCAGTTGGAGACGCGCCATTGAATGGGCAGGAGTCCAGTACAATAGAAACAATGCTTCTGATTATCGATGCAAAATTGACGATCAACGCAGAAGAATCAGAAGCCGAATGTGGCAGAATTTTTGGATCAGCAAGGCTGGCAGGCTTATATTGCGAAGAATTTGTCAATTGTTTGAAAGACGGCGGATTTTCAATAACAGAAGTCGACAAAAACTTGAGTAAAGCCACGCTCAGATGGCTTGCATACAAGCCAGTAATACAGCAAACAGTGTCTGTCACGGTGCAGCTTGGGCAATGCTCCAAACAGATAATGAACCTATACGTGACTTGCCGTGAAAGCAAGGAGCTTCATGAATCCAGAGTGGACGAAAACAGCGTAGATCTCATATCAGGGGATGCGGCCGATGAGACTGCGATTTGCGACGAGAAACAACCGCCCCACAAGCGACTCGAATGGCTAGTACAGTTCATGGCGAAACGATCCGGCAACACAGATACATGGTCGATGGTTCGGCCAAGCTGGGACAGTTGGATCGCCTCCACCAACGGAGATCTAGCGGTGAGCATGCTCAACACCATCGAGTCGTGGTACCGGGATGGCGGAGTTACCTTGGAGCTGGGTGCCGTTAAAGAGGCAGCGAGTCGTCGGGTGTATACGTCGAAAGGACGTCGTCCTCAATTAACTTCCGGAGAGCCCGACGACATACCCGACACTATACCTGACGATATTCCGGACGCTATACCCGACAACATACCCGACAACATGCTTGGCGATATAGGAATACTATGCGAGATCCCCTTTAAGGTTAAGAGCGTCAAGGTCTACTCACGGGGCTATCGGCTTTTTCTGGTTGACCAGTCTCGTGAGCCTCGTGAGCCTCGTGAACCACATGTGCCATTAAAGGAGTGGGCGGTGGGACTTAGCGCGATTTTAAGAGAGGGAACTGCCGAGGAATCGGAGCAAAATGCCAAGTATTTCTGGAGCATATTCTCTAATTCTCTACCGAAATACCTAAACAAAAAGGAACCATTTGTTGAGTTTCCCGATGATGTTACGGAGGAGGAGGATCTCCCTCCTAGCATCAGATTTCAGGAAATAATGACAGAGGACATGGTAAAACGTCATAATAAAACCTCTCGGATCAAAAAAAAAGATATGGCCCCTAAACTCGAAAAAGGTTGCTCTCACGTTATATGCAGGGATGGAAAGCCGATGTGGAACGTGAGCCATAGCAACATGCAAAATTGGGGCAACCACGTGAAGAAGGCGTTGTCGAAGCTGAAAGGTGAGTAGGGATGCGCGAAAGCAATGCCTGCAAGAGATGCGAATTGCATATGTCACTACCAACAATGTAACTACTGTCCAGTACTTAATATTATATCAATATGTATCATACACAATGGTATTGTCGTTATATGTACTCCGGATGCATAGCCAACAAGGGCATGATAACGATGGGCAGGTGTGAAACGGAAATAAAATATCTATTGTACGGCAGAACGCATCGGGCGATGTCACGTGGACTTTGAAATCAGAAAATGTTCATGAAGAGGTACAGTACTGTACATACATAACACAAAATATTTAAGATGTGTAAATGGAGGGCGCGTCTGTGGTAAACCGAAACGGAACTTAGCTTCATGGTGGGCTGTGCGGCAGTGGCTCTAACCAAACCGTTCCCGATCCTCAAGCAACTAAGTTGTCGTTCCATCACAGCCAGACAGAGTTGGCGGCACAAACACTAGGGACTCAGGGGCTCCAACTTCGCCAAATACTCTCTTTCCCTTACATAGCAAGTACAAAGACTCCGGTAGAAACTTCTTCGTCGTCCATCACCTACGAACCCAAGGCCACTTTTGACGGAGGCAGCCAGCCCGAAGTGAATCGCCGCGAGTTTCTAGACCTCATGGATCTCTCTTCTGCTAAGATTCCCGCGGCATCGGGATGAAATACGACACCTCGCCTTTTTTTCCCTTTCGTAGCGTGTCGTTGTCGATGACTATTCAAGTTGTCTCTGGTCCCAAACGCTTTGAAGCAGAATTCGCACATGAAATTTTTTTTGGCCTGATGGGTGCTGTCCATTATTGTCAGACATATTTCGTTCTCTTATCACACCATCACACAGGGTATTCATAGCCTCATCTTTGTTGGTGTTTCTTCGCTTTCTCATGAATTGCACCAGTCTCCTCGCAGCCAGTGTGATGGTGCTTGTGCTGTTCTTGATCCTGCACATGGTCTGGAAATAGGTCGATCACGCCGCTTCGTTCAGGTTCAACCCGGAAACCAAGTGTGTTGACATTATTGGCGAAGTCCAAATCACACTGACCAGCTTGAAGATCTGAATATGATTCTGCAAAACGATCCTCAGACTCAGGCACCAAAGAGAAAAACTTTTCTTGTGCACTTCTGTCGAGCCAATGGTATTGTTCCACTTGATTTTGACAGTCAGAAGATCAAACTCCAAACCAGAAATAAATATCTGTGTGTATGACTAACCGAATATTGACTCGTAAGATGGAAATACAGCGTCATCAAGTTCGATGCATGTCTCTGATTCTGCGCCAGCAATGGCTTCGATAATAGTGTACGGACCCATCATATATGGATGACGAATAATCCGACGGCTGGATGTATTATCTGGCGCAATTCGGATGTTTTGCTGGACAGGCTGGATTGGATGGACGTTCGAAGGCAACCATACTTCCATGTACAGGTATTATATACTGCACAGTATATTAACCTTATCAATAGATAAACCTCAAAGTGTGTACATGTATTCAAGTAAATATTTACAAGTAAATGGGCCTCTAGTTCTCTTCTGGACGATACGACGTAAGCATACGCAGGTTTGCTTGTGCGTCAGGTGGTGGCCGATCCATGACTCTCTACATCCCCGTTATTTTATTCGGGACTTCACTGTTGGGTGGAGCCAGTGTGCTTCCACGTGGGGCCACGTTGGTTACGTCTGAGTATTGGCGGATTCAATATGTGCCTTAACCGTTAGTGGTGGAGTGCTGCACGGTTGGTATTACAATGTGCGTTATGAAGTAGTCAGTTGTACATACATAGTGTCAGCGCCGGCGGGCGTAGAAATTTAAGATAACGCAGAACTGTCTGTTCCTTGCCATCTGGCACCCGTCTTCTAAGCATTGTAACCTGATTCGCATTTGCAGGTTTTCATCTGCTAGACGATCTCTCTCCGCTGCCACGAACGCCAAATTTTTTTTCAAACTGTGAACTGCTATGCCCCGATCGAGGCTATCGGTTTCAGTTTCATCGACGGGCTTCTCGCCAAAGAGCTCAGAGGCGCAGGTGCCAAGAGTTAACAGAGTCATTACCGTCGTCAGAGCAACATGAATTGAGGAATGCAAAGAGGTTGACCGTGGCAACCATTGTGATGATAAAGACCCCTGTGAAGACGTAGTGGCAAATTATCAGGGACTGCTGAATTTTGAAGAAGCTGACGTATTTGGAAGCTCCGATAGAAGCCCCAACGGATGAGATGATGGAAGCATAAATGACGGCGGAAAATGTAAGTAGGGCCTCGCAGAATCCACTACTGACAGCAACGCCAGTTTCATGGCAATGGCTGTGTTCGTTGAGCATTTTGGGTTGATGACTCCGCTTCCACCGCTGACAGACACCTCTTACGCTGATCGCAGTTTGTAACTATAGCCTCCTGCCGTCTCTTGGATTTGTAACTGCCAATCAGCAAGGAAATATTTTCAGCCGCATAGATGAAGCCGTTGACTCCGATTTAGAGGAAAAAGTAGAGAAAGAGTTCGTTCACGTGAAAGCTGCGGGTGCAGTGCTACAGCATGTTATTATACCATACCTAGAGCATATTAATACATACAGCACGAGTAGCACTATATAATATTTACTCTCGGGTTGTGGCCCAAGTTATATCGCTCATCACTCAGATCAGTCCCCCGCCGCTATTTGACCATGGCGTTGAGACGGTGTTATCAAGCGGTGCCGGTTTAACAGGCGAGAATTTGGTATCATGTTGTCATTTGCTACCCACTCATTGAGTACTTCAGCGTCTGCGGTGTCTATGAGCATACCCAGACATATACCGTGTGTCCTGCACGCATGGAGAACGGTACATTCCTCATCGTTGGCAAACAGCACATCATTTTCAGTTGCAGCTACCAGGTGAAGCAGGCAGCAGAGATGGAGGCACTTACATAACTTAACAACAACAAGAGCAGACAATCATGAATATACTATCAATTTGTGCCAACAAATGAATACGTATTCAACGCCTTGACCCAACATTTTCCTTTTCCTTTTTTTTTAATAGCACGCCTTAGATATTTGGCTTTCATCCTATTGCAATATAATACTGTGACAACACTGACCCCTTGGCCCGTTTTCTGTACATCTCTTATGGTTGGAAAGCGCAAGGCTTCTACTCGGGTGATAATTATCACGGGCTATTGGGTTCTTCGTAACTGTTGTTGATGCTTGTGTTGAGTTCATCTATCTAGAGGCAGCGCTCACCCAAACTGGTGATGTTTGAGATCTGTTTGAGATCAACCAGGTGTGGCCAATTAGGGGCCAGCATTCGCTACCTTCCACGCCCACAGCGCCGCTGGCAGCAACACTTATGCCAATCCTTTAATTTCCCTTTCCTTCGACTCACCATTTCAACAGAATGACGACCTTCAGCTGGTGTTTTCGACCACCTCAACACTCTCGCCGGCTTCAACGGGGTTGCTAAAGTCTATCTTCTCACTCCACGTACACACCAAAAACAGTAACCCAACCATGACGCTCACACCGCCGGCTGCAGCAACAATGTAAAACTCTCGGGCTATCACTATACACACAATATCTGCGCCTTTGCGCAATAGGGCTCCATTTTGTGTGTTGGTTGAGCTACCTGCGAGGAGTTGTCGAATTTGTATCTCATTCAACGTCGACCCTAAGCTCTGGGCCAGGAGGCGGTAACCGACATTCTGAAAGATGCCCCAGGAAGCTGCGAGAGTCATGGGGATGCCTCCCATCTGAGCAAAATTGCACATGAAGATGCTGTCAAGTCGTTTCCGTTTATCTTTGGACCTTTCCAGAGCGTTGCAGATTCCAATGCTGTGCTGAAACAGCAGACCAACGCCGATGCCCACCAAAGCCTCAAGACCAGCAACTTGCGCTCTGGGAGTTTCCGGTGTCAAAATGACTGTCAATGCCACTCCGGCCGCCACAAGTATTGCGCCACCGGCGGCGTATATCGCCCTATAGAACCCAGCAATATGCAGCAGTCGGCCAGTAGCCGCAACGGAAGCTATGAAAGCAAAGACAAACGGCAGCACCCACAGGGTTTGCTCGAGCGCATCTGCCCCTTTTGCGAAAGCGAAGTAGAGAGGGAAAAAATACAACGATATTGCGTAGGACGCGCCTGCGCAGGCCGAGCCCGCCAACAGAGCCCACATGCTGAGTTGGGTGCGGGTGTGAAGAAGCAGGCCACTCCATTCAACATTAGACCAAAGGTATAACACCCACAGCAATGACACTAATCCGAAAGACAGCCAAACACCCAGGACGGGTCGTGAATCCCAGTGCCAAACACTGCCAGAGAATGTCAAGGCGAGCGCGAACAGGACCGGCATTGCAATGTTCAGCAGAATTGGAGCCCAGTCCAATCGCCTCGGGCGCCTGAGGATGGAGTCGTTCTCATCAGGCAAAAACCTCGTTTCTGGAACACAGAAGTAAGCCAAGATAATAGTTGCCCCTGCGCAAGGCAGATTTAACAAGAATGCCCATCGCCATGTGACCCTCTCTGAAAATGCACTCCCAATGGGTCCGCCTATGATGAGGCCGATTGCCCACGACGCGCTCATCGTGGATACTCGCGCTGGCGCCTTCTGCATCTCATTCTTGGGTGCACATACGGAGACATAAAACATATTTCTATCGGGAATTACTCCATTAGTCGCTTTTTTTTATCAGTTCAAGAACGGACAGGCACTTGCATTTGTTGCACGAAGGCGCCACCGACGCCCATGATGACTCGACCCAAGATCACGGCCTCCATGCTTTTTGCCGATCCAGCAACGGCCGCCCCGAGCAAGAATACTGCCAAGTTGGCGATATAGAGCCACCGTAAACCGAAAGTGTATGTTAAGTGGCGTACCAAAAACATAACAGAGAAGAGAGCAAGAGAGTAGGATATGCTGATCCACGAAAGCAGTTCGATGCGCCCAAATGTCTCATACAGCCGTGATTGAATATTCGCGACATTGCTGACATCGTATCCTGGTTATCAAAATTAGCTTCAATTGATGAGTTTGGATCGCTCGTGGTGTTGTATTCTTGCCGTTAATCAGGGCCGTAAAATAGATGATTACCAGCGTGCATTTCCATTTCCAGTTTCCGGCTCCTCGAGGGTCGAGACTGATTTTGACAACCGATTCTTGTGCTTCTATCTTCGGCATGGTAAAGGGAAACGCAATCAGGGACTCAGTGACCTGGACAAGGCGAATAGTCTCCCATATGATAGGAAGCGGGCTTATAAACGCATCCAATGCATACAAATACACACGCATATATATATGTACATGCATGTGCCTTGTGGCTCGCGATCAGGTGAAAGAAGACTGCACAAAAGTCTTCGCCACTCTCGATCTGCATAGTATGCCTATCCTTGGCAGCATTTTCTCACGGAGCAATGATTTTTGCGAGAGATTAATCCCGCATATGGAAGAAATTTTAGCCAGGTATTGGACGCCGACGGAGCTTGATACACCAGGCTACGTTACGCCGCATGGAAGTGCACATCCTACCAACTTGGCTATTTGTTGTTGGAAAAACAAAAGCCCACGCCTAATGCACAATCCTCGTACATTCTCCACAATCGACATGGCCATTTCTCGATGATTACAACCTGAGAGGCGCCATTGGTATTACAGTACCTCATGAGCGTTTGTTATGTTGACACTAGAGCTTCCCCGGGTAGTTGACCGGGCACGGGATTGGAAGAGACGACGCCGATTGACTCGAGAGTTGAAAACCCTTGTCCTTGGGGCGCGCAACCCGGGGCCTGGCTGCTTGGGCTAACCTCATGTTACGTCGACATGGTTATGCTGGGTTCGTGGTGGAATTAGATGTTGCGTTATCATACTTGGCAAACTCGATTGAACGGACTCTTCGCAGGAGCAGTCGTATACATACCTGACCGTTGTACACCATCATGGCGGAAAGAAGCAACACAGACTGAAGCTCTGAGACTACGTCGCGGTGAAGGATGAGGCGAATATGGACGTTCCAGCTGTCAGTATGCAGGACTTCTTGCACAGCAATGCGCACGAAACCAGAGTATTTTTAAGGCGCCCATACACCAACCCTGCCCGTATTCTCAACACCAATATCATGTGTTTAAATGCTTTTGGAGACATGTCACATCTGGAAGGCAAGATTATTCTGTAACTAGCCCCGCCATAACGGTGGTCCGCCAGTGTGTTGAACAAAAGCCGGGTAAGTTTAGGTGGGCGGTCTGCAGTGAAATGTGGAAAAGTAATCAAGAAAGTGAAGAGCTTCCGGGGTACGCGGAGCCAATTTTCTTTCGTTATTGGCATGTCATGATTTGATGGCATTAAGAAAGCTGTGAAAGGGCCCAGGCAACCTTTCCTTGGAGTACTAGTCCATCTTTCTTGTTTGTACATAGTTACATTCACCTATCGATTGGGATTAAGTCATGCACCAGCTGGAGGGCAACATGGGATTTTAACGAGGCCGAGAGAATGATGATTCACCCTATTGCCCTAGTTGAATACGATCCACGTCACACAGTGTATTGATCACGCCAAAGTCTTTGTGTCAACTTGCTTCGAGGATGACTCGCTGCTCTGTCGTGTTCATTGAAGCTGGCGATTATGAAAAATATAACGACGACTTGAGAGCTCGGCTTCGAAACATAGCGGCAGCACACATAGCTTTAAAGTCCATGCTTCAGAGAATTGGTATTACAGTACATCACAATATGTATACGGGACTCAACAAGTATCTAATGAATCTAATACTGGGCCTTTTGGTCTAGAAATCGGGCACGGTATAGATGTTATATAGCAAAACGGGGACGCCTATAAAGCCACAGTCTGCTGTAAAATCATGTTCCGGATCGTTCCAAGCGAGCGAGCAACAAAAAAATTATATGGAGCCTGATTATTCCATGCGACCTTCACCCCAAGGAAATTGTGATGCTGACAGTTTTAGTTTTCTGTGGAGCGACCCACCAAGGATTTCGGACTTGAACCAACCAGCCTCGCAAGGACGTAGTCGACCAGGGAAAAACGTTATGCTGCAATGCGCTGTGCTGTTGGCAGACAAATTTTTTGGGGCAACGTTGGACAAACCTATCTGATCAGTTGTCTCGTCGGCGAGTAAATTATTTTGTGGATCGCCCTCACTCAGTTGTGCTGGAATCGAGGAAGGCCATAAAGTTGTGGGCCATTGGGAGTTTGATTGACGGGACATTCTTTGATGTACTTACGTGGCTATGAGAATCACTTCCGAGATGTCATAAGTTCAGTGCCATCGTTCAGATACATTGCTCGGATTGGTTTGGAGTGGTGATCAGCTTATCAAGTATATACAGCCTGATACACACATACATATGTACAATGCCATAGTACGGAAAGTACAACATCACTAACTCATGTAGCATCACGAAGGCCCCACACGGCGATGATGACTTCAAACAAGGATAACGCGGTCGAGATCAAACAGCCTTTCCGTTACATCTGACACGACACGATAGCAACACAGTACCACACCATTCAAGTATACGGCAGTCCACACCGGCATCTTCAAAATAACAACCATTGCACACATTCGCCAAACTCGTTCACGTAGAATGTCTCACCATCTGTGATGTAATGGGGACAATGTGAAGACTATTGGTCGCGAGTGAGTCTCACAGAGGACGACAAACAACTAAAAACTGGTAATTTGCAAGATTCGTCTCCATTCCAGATTAACCCTTCATTAGTATGAAGTTGCAGCCTTATGTTGAGCTTTTTCTTTTACTACTTTACGGCTTTCCTGGCTATGCTGTGGTCTAATGTACCCTTGGCACCCTTTCATCACGTTGAGATTCGTTCTGGGAGTGCTTCTCATGGACTTGGTTTAGTGTGGCTTTAATTATTGTTGTTCCACAATCCAGTTTCCTTGACAATATCGTCAATTCTTCTATTACATATCTACTTCGATCGAATACACAGACTCAAGAGATATCTATCACGATCTTCTGCTCCCCAGTTTATCTATTACCGTCTTTGTTGACGGCTTCACTTCCGCTTGCGGCAGCCCACGAGCCTACATCAAAATGTAAGTTCTTTTCCCGTTACATGCTTTCAAATTGGCGTTAAATACCCCGATTTCCAGACCGCACCATTGACAGAGCCCGACTGGTAACGTCGAGAACAGCAAGTGACAATTGCAGTATCTAGTCAGCAAGGCTTTTTCAAACTCGATGTGCATTGCAGCTCCCACTCCACGAGTTCCGAATCCAGACTATTACGGGTGGCCGCGTCAAACACATGGCTGGTGTTAGCAATGGCCGACCCTGACTACGTTACCTGCTGGACAACTGAAGGGTTTGAAATCCCCTATCCAGTTTCACCTTCGGAAGACCATACGGCAAGATATTATGGCCATAAAACGTTACACTCCCGGCCAGGATAAAGATCAGCCCCGCTTCAGAAGTTCAGTTGAACTCTACGCGGCTCATCTACGTAGCTCATCTCGCCCCCAGAGCCGTTTACATGAAGGATGAGCCTTCCGGCATATTCGCCTCGGAAGAGTCAACGTCCACGTACATCACAGGCCTTAGTCCCATTTATCTTTTGGTGTTATTTTTCCGGCCATATATTTACAATTAGATTTCCTTGTGTTATCACGAAGCTGTAAGACAAATGTGGAAAGGAGGGTGGGCGGATATGGCCACTTAGTGTACATCGCAGCAGTGGGTTTGTCACGCCCGCATGCACAGAAAGAAAAGTCGATTGCCTTCTACTGGCCAACCAGTGCAGGCGGGGGGTTTGCCATTAGCATCATCCTCGGCAAGGATACTCGATTAGTGGTTTCCCTATGAGAAGAGGAATAGTTTCCAACAGAATGGCAAAGCTCGCTGCAAATTATTAGAGCATTCTCTCTCCTGTATGGCCACGGTGCCGCAACCGGGTGCAGTTGCCGTTTGCTGGCATTCCTACCGACTTCATGGATAAGGAGTTCCTCCACATCTTCCAAGGCAAAGCATTCCTTGTCTATAAAGACGTTTCTGCTTCCTACTCGCGCCACACTGCACGGGGTTGACCCTTCATCTGCATTCCTACATTCTGGGGGAACTGGCCCAGGTAGTTACCAACGGGGTCATATTTGCACACGACGTATACCCCATTGGCCTTGCCTCGGCCACCACTGCAAATATTCCACCAGGCTGGTC